AGTGAATGTGGAAAATCCTTTAGGGATAGTTCCCAATTCAGTCAACACCGGAGAGGACACACTGGAGAAAGGCCTTATGAGTGCAGTGAATGTGGGAAATTTTTTATGCGAAAATCTACCCTCTCACAACATCAGAGAGTTCATGCTAGAGAAAGGCCTTAGATATGCAGGGAATGTGCAGTTTCCTGTTCAGTGGAATGACACCAGAGGAAGCTGTGAGGAGCCATTTGTCTGAACTGATTCTCATACATCTGAGTGAACAGTGAGGAGATTTCCTCTTAGTTATGTGGGAAGGTTCTGTAAATATGTGGACGTTTCTAAGCTGTCCGAAGCTCTTTCTAGATTGATGTCACTCCTAGTTTCTGTGGCCAAAGCCATTTCCCCTCTACCACCTGGCAGGTGTGCATCGGTCACCACCCCCATGTGCTCAAGGAAGCTGACCTCTGTTCTCCCAAGTATTATAGCAAGTTAGGAGTAACATGAGCCCTTGGGGGTCAGCTTTCTGTCTGCCTTGACTACTGGATGTGGACCTGAATCAGTGTTGGACCAGAAAATATGAGTTGGGCTGCCAGCTTGCAGAGAATGACTGCCTTTTTCAGAGACATGTGGTCTCACATGATCCTTGTGATGAATTTTTCCAGCTTCCAAATCATGAACTCAGCCTGCCTGCTGTACATTCTTTTGTCATGTTTCAGGAATCTCAGTGATGACCCTGAGTAGAGAGCTGCTGTGAGAACCTCAAGTGCATCTGAGAGCAGTTACCTCTTGTACATAGGGGGTCTCACGGGATGTCAGCACTGCGTAGGGGATATCTTCCCCAGATCTATGAAGAGCCATGTGTGCTGTTGTCCACAGTTCATTGGGTGAGGGTCACTGGTTGTAAGACCATTTGGTCCAGGGAAAACCATAATTGGTACAGAGAGATTGGCTTACCAGGGAGTGGAGGAGACTGCAGCCAACTAGATGGAATGTGCCTTTTCTAGAAGTGCATCCAGAAATGGTTCTGTGACAGCAACTGTGAGGATCAGGTTGTACACAAATCTCAGGACCTCCAGGCATGTTTGTCTTGTGTAGCTGAAGTCATCAAAAATAAAAGATTTTGTGGATTTCTATAACCTCACAATGCTGTTTACTTCAAGGTCATTACTACACAGGCAGGAAAAAGAAAATGGGGATTTATAGTCCACGGACCTGGCTCTTCTGACCCAGGCAACATTCCTGTAGACTCAGGTAGAAATGTCCTTCATCCCTCACCATATTTGTTGTCACTGAGAGATGGCTGATCACCAGAGGGCACGAGGAGACAGTTGGTGGAGTCAGTACAGGGTTGTCAAACCTATTTTCCGAAAAGTGGGGTATACAGATTTTTTTCTCTTGAGCCAATTTTTAAAGCGTTGTTAAGGTATAATTGTACTAAACTGCATATATTTAAAGTGTACAGTTTGATAAGTTTTGACATAGGTGTGAACTTCTGAAACCATCCTCATAGCCCTGATAATGATCTTATCTCTGTATATTTTCCTCACATCTTATCATAATCTCTTCTCACCATTCCTACCTTTCCAGCTAACATTTCAGTTACTTTCCTTACAATAGATACCTTTACATTTTCTTGAATTTGTATGACTGGAGTCATAAACTGTTTACTGTTTTTATCTGATTGCCTCTGTGTTTCATAATTTGAGACTCATCAGTGATATATGAGTAGCTCATCTCTTTCTGAGTAATACTCTTATCTATGGATATACCACTCTTCATCTTTTTGTGGTCATTGAGGTTATTTCTGTATTTTGACTATTGAAAATAAAGCGGTTGCAAACATTTGTGTCAGTTCTTTATACGATGTATGTTTCTATTATGTTTTGTCAATAACTTAGAGTGCAAATGGCTTGTTTAACTCTTGAAGAAACTGCCAGACCCTGATCTAACATGATTGCTTGGTTTTGAACTCCCACCAGTGTCTAGTGCTATCTCAGTGTCTTTTTTTGTGTGTGTGTGAGGAAGACCAGCCCTGAGCTAACATCTATTGCCAATCCTCCTCCTTTTTTTTTCCCATTTTTCTCTCCAAAGCCACAGTAGATGTACGTCATAGTTGCACATCCTTCTAGTTCTATGTGGGACGCCACCTCAGCATGGTCGGACAAGGGGTGCGTCGGTGCATGCCCGGGATCCGAACCCAGGCCACCAGTAGTGGAGTGCGCGCACTTAACTGCTAAGCTATGGGGCCAGCCCCTCAGTGGCCTTTTAATTGCATTGCCCAAAGGATTCTTGATTTTTAGCATTTTTCGTGTATTTACTTGCCAATTGTTTATCTTTTGTATAATTTCTGTTCATTCCATTTGCCTATTTTATTCCATATGAGTTATGGCTATTTCCTTTTTCATTTTCAAATAAGACACTGAAACAACACAGACATATGTTGGAATTTTAAATGGCGTGACATTTTTCTGTATGCAGTCATTGTCTCTAAATACTAGAACACTATTTCCTCATTGTTTTTCCTCAAGCTTTTTGTGTCACACATAATGTCATGGTGAGGAATACCATACACGGTTAAGTTTCGTCTGCATTATTACCATAACCTCCATCAGTTAACTCCAGGCATTCAGTAATATAGTAAATCTAGCCCTGGTTTATAGTGTTTGCCAATTTCCACGTTGTAATTTCTCCCACCATGGAAGTGAGATGGGCACAGAGAAGGAGCAGAAAAATTCCACTTGGATCCCCAGGTGTTCGGTGAAAAACCAAACTTGGCATGTGCAGGAGACTTGACAAGGCCAGGCAGGCAGCTGGGGGGCTGTGGGAAGGTGGGAGGTTGAGGAGGCCTCACAGGCGGGAGACATTAGAATCCTGACGGGCTGGAGGGGAGGGACCTCCCTGAACATCCTGGGGGGTCTTGGAGACCCTGAGTGGCCTGACCTTAGTGACAAGGTATCAGAGCAGACACCTTCGGTTCTCAGTTGCCTCCTCCGACCCCACCCGGGACCTTGTAAGGGGCTTCTCACCCTCTGGACGCTCTCCGTCCCGCCCTTTTCCTGGTTCCCTCGGTGCTCACTGCCTGTTGGTCTCCAACCGGGGTTCCCCTTCCGTGCGTTTCCCACCGCTGTGGGCTGCTTTTCCAGACACCACAGCTCCGGGAGGACTCCTGCCTTCCCGGGTGGGGGGCGGCAGGTCGAGGGGCCTCCGGGCGCCCCACGCGGGCGGGTCCCGCTGGGGTCTCCCTGCTCCCGCTTCCCGGGGCCCCTGGGGAGGTCTTGTCCTCCGCGGCCCCACGTGCTTCCAGTCACCAGAGCCTCGTGGGGTCCGAGGTCGCATCTGGAGGGGACGGGGGGAGGGGGCGTGCCAGGTCGGGCGCAGGGTGGGGTGCTGGGGGCCCACGGGGCAGCGCAGACCCACGGTGCCGGGGCGGGCGGCCCGGGGGAGACCCCCGGGGGGGTCGCACCTCGCGGAGGGGGTTCAGGAAGGAGCCTCCGCACCGGGCCCGCTTCTCCCTCTAAGGCGACGCCGCGCCCAGCGCTCCCGGCGCTCCTGCCCGGCGGCCCCGAGGGACGCGGGGCGGCCCCGGCCCAGCTCCCGCCCGCGGCAGCGCCCCGCCCTCCGCCCCACCGCCCGGGGACGCTCGGAGCCGCCGGGCCCGCCACTTGGGCGCCCCCTTGCGGCGCACGTGACCGTCGGGACTCAAGTCCGCGGTTCGGTTGTCCGCGGTGTGTTGTCGAGGGAGTAATGAATGTCCGACAGCGGACCACAGAGGCAGAAAGCGCAGAGAACACTCAGCAGGATGAATGCCAGAAGCTCCATGTAGCTTGTCATTTTCAAATTACAGAAAATCAAAGTGAGGAAGTAATCCTGAAAGAAGCCAGAGGGGACAAATACCTTACCTGTAGGGGAACAAGATAAGAATTACACCCAACTTCTCCTCAGAAACTGCAAGCAACAAGAGAGGGATGAAATATTTAAAGTGTTGAGAGAAAACCATCACCTTCCTAGAATTCTGTACCTGATGAAATTAC